CTTTGATAAAGATTGAAAAATAATAAGGTTTCAATCAAAGAATATTAATGGCTAGAAACCGCATCCAAAATCTCTTATAAATCAATTATATTCCAACTCCCCATTTGAAATTTTGAGAAGCATTGTTCCTTTAGAGGGTATAACATAATATGTTATGTTATAAGAGTTGTTGGCTGTTTTTTATGTTACTTTAATCATCTTTAACAGTTTAACTGTTTCGTTCTGCACATGCAATACCACAATTTTTGCTCACCGTTTTTCATTCTCGTATGCATGCATGACACACCTCGTCGGAGTCAAGACATGCTGGCCGCCACGCGAGAGTGACATAGTCAAGAGTGCAAAAGAAGTAATAAAAAATATATATATGAACAAATTAAAACCCAATTAAAACTTATTTAAACTAGAAATAAGTAAACATGCGGAAGTGGTCAAACCCGAAGTACAACCGTCCAGAGCATCGGTAACGTAAAGGTGCAGACGAACTGATTAAGTACTAAATACACAACAAGAGAGGAAATATCCCTACATTATTTGATGGAGTGTCAAAACCGCTGATTAACCCTCGAGTGCCACAAAGGAGGACAACTATCTAGGACCTAGAGGGACGAAAAACAAAAGGGTGAGTGGGTAAAAACAAAGTTTTAGAAAACACATTTCTCTTTTCTGAAAGTAATAACCCCTCACTATAAAAGCCATAGTTTCCAGAAAATAATACTACATAATACAAAAATGAATAAACAAGAGCTGTAAAACAGAAGCATGACATGCCACAATATCTCAGCAATAGTAAATGTAAGCCAGGTGTAAAATCAATCTAAACTAGCATGCCAATCGGAGTCACATAATGTGACTTGTACTATTGGACCTATTGCTCATCAGTCTATGCTAGCATACGAGTCGGAATCACCTAGTGTGACCTGTACGACAGGCTGGGTGTAAATATGTACGCTCTAGTGCTACGATCACGTGATGTCTAGTGATAAATCGCAGGTCACCTACGAGTCGGAACTGCCTATTGCAGTCTATACAACAGGCTAGCATCTACTTGGATCCAAGGCGAGCATGCGGTGCGGGAGGTGAACATACACGTGAAGGTTATGCCCTGGCCCGGGGCGGGAGCATAATCACCAGGGTGCAGCAATGATGAACTCTAAATGAATATATGCATGCTCATATAATTCAATCATTTCAACCACATAATAACTCACTTGAACTTACCTGCGCCTCTGTAGTATCATTTGACATAATCACAATTCTCATCATAATGCAATATTTAAATATAATGCATTTAAATCATGGCATGCTATGCATAATCAATTTAAAACATTTCTGGAAGGTTATATATATATATACGAAACAACTATTTTTAGTTGGAAGGATCGTAGCCCCCTAACCTCGCTTGACTACGTTCGTCCTTGGGGTAGGTCTCCCCTTTATACGAAACAACTATTTTTAGTTAATTAAATAGCACATACACAAGAATCTAAAAATAGCTTCTAATGGTTTGCTCAAATGGAAGGTTTGAATATACAAAAATGTTCTACTCGAAGTCACGGACCCGCACGTAAAAACCATTCGTCGGCAAGTGGCCGGACGCGCCCTCACGCGCTGTCTGACCCACGGCCATGCGTAGGCACATGCACGGCATGCGCGACGGAAACCCTAACGGATGTTAGGAATATTCCGTCATAATAAACGGAATATTCCGTTAAATGGTAACGGCGTTACTTGATGTCGTTAGAATATTCCGTTAACTTTAATGAAATATACCTTGCCTTCTCCGGTTAACTTCGCCGCCGTCTAGTTCACCGGTTTCAGGGAAAATTCGCCGGATTCTGGGAAAATCTTCAAACCTTAATATCTAGCTCATTTCTCAACCAAAATCCATGAAATTTATATGGATTAAAAGCTCTTGAGGAGTAGAACAAGTTTGTACCTCTTAAAAGTCCAAAATCAAATGAAAAACAGTCTGAAAATCCCTTGAAAGTTCTAGCCAAAACTAAGACTCCTCAAACTCACTTGTTCCAACGTCAACTTCACTCCAAACTTACTCTAGGGTCCTTAGGGAGTTGCGTAGACGCTTACTCACGTCCCAAAACCTTGAAATCTTATTGGGATCATGGCGATACCAACTCGACCAAGTTGGAGCTTTCGAGTTGGCGAGTTAAAACTCGTCCGTTCGTCGATCAGATGGTACGACTAGGTCGAGATGACGATGGTGGTATTTACAGGTTCGATTTGTAATGATTTGGGGATGGTTGTGTTGTGGTGGTGTCTCAAGTGCGAGAAGGAAGAAGAAGGTGCGAGAAGGAGAGAGAGGGTACCTGATTGGGCTTGGGAAAATAGGAACTAAAATAATTGGTGAATAAGGTTAGTGATAAAAATAATGTAAAACTGCATATGTATATCCACGTCACTTAGGCAACTAGGGTATAATTGTCATTTTACACACTCAAGGAGAAAATTATATAGAAAATAGGGATGGGTCGTCACAAAGCATCATAAAGCAATCAATATTCTTAATATAAAAAATTAACCATACCAAAGAATTGTACATAAATATTTACCTTTAGCTTGTATGTAAATTCATACAATTTCCTATACAAGTAAATGAATTTCCTACACAAGTAATTGAACAATTCAAATCCTAAATTAAATTTTAATTCATGTGTGCCACTCTTTTATGCCGATCCATGCCCTTGAATACAAAGCATAAATGATCCTAAAACATAATTACATAAGTGTAACGTGGCTAATATATTAAAAATTAAATAAACATTTTACACCACAACATATATAAACGTACAATCAAAAGCCTTCATATAACAAACATTTTGTATACCTGTAATCTTAAGTGGCTTGATAAAGTCAAGAGGTTCTTCATAAATTAGCGATATATAGTTTTTCTTGTGTGGTTGACCTTTTCATTTTAAGCTCTATCTTACACGTGATATGACTTAAGGCAATATTCATATCATGTTAGATCATCTCCAACCAAAAGAGCTAAATAGAGTCTCGTCTAGAATTATAGCCTCCTAAAAAATTATTTTTAAATGAACAGTGTTAGGCCATACTCATATACTATCTCCAACCGAATGGGCTATACATAGCCCCCTTAATAATTTATTAGTTTTAAGTTTACTTTAAATTTATTGGTTAATTTAGTTAAATTATTGTTGAATTTGTTTAAATCTAGTCGTTGAATTTGAACCAATTATTGCAACTGAGGAGTTGGGCTCCAAAAAAGGCTAAGAGGGGTCTACATTTGGCTAGCATGATCCTCCTTTGGCCAACCTGATGCTTCTTTAGCCAAATAATAGTTTGGTAAACTCTATAGAATTATAGCGTAGCCAATAGTTGAATATGAGTTTTTTGACAAATCAGACCATTTTTTTACTTTTAGGGTTTAGCCCTCTCCATTAGAGATGGCCTTACATGTAGTAAAGCGAGACTAATCTTCTTTATGCATTTGAGCTTCCTGCAATTTTATCAGATTAAAGTAGATTATCAATTCTATAGGGAAGACAAACTTTATATCCAAATTCTAAGTGTAACATCCCACATCGCCAAGAGTAGTGGATTATGTAAGTCTATATGTATATTCACATCTCTACCTAGCACGAGGCTTTTTGGGAGCTCACTGGTTTCGGGTTCCATCGAAACTCAAAAGTTAAGCAAGTTCGCGCAAGAGCAATCCCATGATGGGTGACCCACTGGAAAGTTCTCGTGTGAGTTTCCAGAAACAAAATCATGAGGGCGTGGTCGGGACCCAAAGCGGAGAATATCGTGTTACGATGGAGTTGAGCCCTGAATGTGGTGGGGCCCGGGCCGGGATGTGACACTAAGCATTATTTGAAATTTGGTCAAAACTCAATCCAATTTTGCCTTAAAAAAATAAAAAATAAAAAAGTAAAGTTGGTAAAAATGCTTAAGCTTTAAGGGGGCGTTTGTTTCACCTCTTTAGGAGGGACTGGACTGGACTGGACTACAGTCCCATGTTTGATAGGTGTTGGGACTAAGTTAAGTGGGACTAAAGGGGACTCGTGTGGACTACGGGGCTCGCTAGGTAGTCTTAGCGAGACCCCCCAAATACCACCGGATTGCTAAGATCGTTGCTCTGCTCGACTCCTCAGCGCTTTGCTCGACTGCTCACCCTGCTCGACAACCTCACCGGACCATCCCAGGACAACCGCCGCGTCCTCGTAAATCGCCGCTCTCATTTCCTTCTTCCTCACTGCCTCGCACATTAAAAAATCCAAAACATCCAACCCCAGATTCGAGTCCACAACCTTCGACAACCCACAAACAGAGACAAAATTAACAAAGAAGACAGAATCCAAACAAAAAAACAGCAGCAGAGAAGACAGAATCCAACCCCAGATTCGGACTCCACAACCTCCGAATTCTGCAAAATGAAGAATCGAGCTTCGTTTTTCTCGTTTGTCCACCGGGTCTTCCTCTTCGATTTGTCCACCGGGTCTTCCTCTTCGATTTGTCCTCCACCGAGTCTTCCTCTTCGTTTTTCTCCTCCTCTGGTGGACAAGCTCGACGATCCCATGAACAAAAACCAGAAAAACGAAGCTCGATTCTTCATTTTGCAGAATTTTTTTGGCAATTAATCAAAAAAGAGAGGAAAGGGACGGAGAGTGTGGGACGGAGAGAACCAGGAAGAAAATGATGGAGGCTTCCAGAGAGAGGGAGAGTATTATTATAAGAAAAAAAGATAGAATTAATTAATATAATATTATTAGATATGAATTAAAAAATATAAAATATTGTAGTTTGTTATTATCCTTTTTTTTAGTCCGACACTGCACCAAACACTTCACTAAATCAGTCCAGCTTAGTCTAGTCTAAGCCAGTCCAGCTTAGCCCCTGAAACTAATCCAGTCCGAGATAGTCCGGTGCAACAAACGCTCCCAGTATCCAGAGCGAATAGGACTTACCAAAGCCTGTTACCAAACGCACCGCAATAACACCCCCTTATGATTTTCCCGGGATAATTTATCCCCTTTCTTACCTGGTTTTCCCGGGAAAATTACCAGAACGCATCAACCCCTTCTCTCTCCTCCCTTCCTCTCTCTCTCTCTCTCTCCTTTTTCCTGTCTCTCCATCTTCATCCCAAATACTTCTCTCTCAGACAGAGAGACAACAAACACACACCCACACACTGATCCTCTATGGACGATCCCACGGCGCCACCGAGAACCCCATCGTCGTCTTCCTCCCAGCTCAATACGCCTCCAACAATGCTCCGCACTCCTCAGGCCCTCCAATCGCTAACCCCATCTCGGCACATCGACCGCCTGATCAACTTCAACCACCACCAATCGCCGTCCAGGACCATCTACTCCGATAGGTTCATCCCCAGTAGATCCGGCTCCAACTTCCCCCTCTTCGACATCTCTAATACTCCATCCGAGGGCCGCGATGACTCGTCAAGCGCCTACGGCACTCTCCTACGCGCTGCCCTCTTTGGCCCTGACGCCCGTGGCGTCGTCCCTCCGGCGACGCCTGAGAAAAGGAGCGCAATTCAGATGAACCCGCCTAGTCCCAACATCTTCCGGTTCAAGACCGAGACTCGCCCGTCAATGCACTCGCTTTCCCCTTTTGGGTTCGACGATGTGGTCACTGGGGCTCACCATAGCCCGGTCAAGGCTCCTCGGAAGGTCCCTCGGTCGCCTTACAAGGTGAATTTTATCAATTTCTGGTCATTTGCCGATTTGAGTTTGGTTGGATTTTGAATTTTGTGATTTTTTTTTCTTTCTTTTTTTGGTTTTATGGAACTTTTGTTTCTTGTTCAGGTTTTGGATGCACCTGCTTTGCAAGATGATTTCTATCTGAATCTTGTCGACTGGTCTTCGCACAATGTACTTGCCGTTGGGTTGGGAAATTGTGTTTATTTATGGAATGCTTGTAGTAGCAAGGTAAGCTCTTGCTTTACTTTGCTTATCCTTCTAATTTTAACTTTGTTTTTGTAATTTGAGGCAAACTGTATGCTTTTCGATGTCTCAAGTCACGTATGATTGTAACTGTTTTCGATCGTGTTATGTGTGTTTTTCTTGGTGTATTTATGAAATTGATCACTTTGAGTCTGTGCCAATGTGATTTTCCTTTTTTTTTTTTACTTTATGATTGGATGTTACTTGCAGGTAACTAAGTTATGTGACTTGGGGATTGATGATAGTGTCTGTTCCGTTGGCTGGGCTCAACGTGGAACTCATCTTGCGGTTGGAACTAGCAATGGAAAAGTCCAAGTAAGAGATACTGGTACCTGATCGCATCTGATAGACACATTGCATTCTTAGATTTGAAATTTAGATGTTATTTTTATATTTCTGATATTGCAAAGTGGAATTACAAGTGGAGTTGCAACAACATTCACAATCTAGGTGTTTGAGCAACAAGTTTGTGACTTTAATATTGAGAAGATGATCGTCGAACAACATAATGCTTGAAATACTTATATGAACCGCAGAAGTCGTGGAAAAGTTTTGTAATTAGAATGTAGACTAACTAATGCAAGTAACAAGGTCCTGTCTAGCTGCATATTCCTGTCTGGTCTGTGGTGCAGACAGTCCCACCAACACATCATATCAAATGTTGATGGGGCAAAATTAGACATTATCTATTACTCATTCTAGAATCCCCAAGTATTGTTTTGCTTACCAGATTCCCTATGTGGCTTTCGATAGGAATAGGAATAGGTTAATTGAAACTTCCATACCCTGCTCATTACATTGTGAGTCTGTGACGGGTTTTGGTTATGCGAGTCTGAACTCAATCATCGGGTTTTGTGACTTCCGTTAGTTTGATAGGTTGCACAATTATTCAAACATGAATAAAATTTTGACTAGTGATCTGGTTATCTGTAACATGCCCTCTGTGTCCGGCCTTGGTTAGAACCACATCAGTGTATACGATAATCAGGTTAGGATTGTAACTTATGTTAAAATTGGATATTCAACGCAGTTTCATGGGAGGAGTTTGTGGGCTGATTTTTGTGCAGTATTATAACAGGAATTTCATATCTACCACCAATTTTGTCTGATTATTTTCATTTGAGTTTTTTACTTTTAGACATGTGAAATTTATATGGGTTAATCTCTGTTGTAACCTTGAAGTTTTGTTGTTTTCAACATTTGGTACATGAAGTTCTTTTCATCCTAGAGTCATACCTCAAGTCTTAATTTTGGGACAGTTTCATACATCCGTTAAGTTTTCCGTTAGAACTTCTGTTAATTGATGACATGGCGCCCACGTGGACAATAACTAAGCGCCACATGTCATTATGGACCCACTTCAATATTAAAAAATTAAAAACAATACAAAAACACTAAAAAAATAAAAAATAAAAAATCCCCACCCCACCTGTCTTCTACCTCCCCCAACCCCCTCCCTTCTTTCTTCCCTCTGCAACCCAGACCCTCTCCCCCAAAACCAGTCTCCCCCAAGCTCACTCCAACCACCAAAACCAGTCTCCCCCAACCTTCATTCTTCCCTCTGCAACCCACACCCTCTCCCCCAACCCACACCCTCCATTCCTTCTTCCCTCAGATCCAAAACAAAACGTAAACAATTCGAGACCATTCTATTACTTGCTTCCATTGCACCTTAAAGCAACGCTCCCAATCAAACGAAAACCAACACAAAAGTCTAACTTCCAAAACAAAATGCAACAAGGTTTGGAACTTGCGAAAACCTAATCACGAAAACTAAACCCCCCCCCCCCTTTTTTTTCAATCCCACTATTTAATTTTTCAGACCATCCAAACAAAAACCTAGAAGCAAAAAACAAAGAAACCAAATAGACCTAGAAAACTGACGGACTTTTCAGGCTCCGCTGCATTTTTCTCCATCAAGTTCGTTCCGTTCCACCCGGTAATCAATTTTGATTAGCCCTTAATCAATTTGATTAGCCTCTAATCAAATGTCAAGCCAAACAAAAGAAAAAAGTTGATCAAATCTGTGGAGAAGAAAATGGTGGAGTTTTGGGAAATGGGAGAAAGTGGAAGAATGAGGGATCCACAACGGCAGGGTAAGGGAACGAGAGAAGGAGAAGTATTCGGATGGAGATGGGAAAATGAAAGGGGACGTACGGATAGGAATGGATTTTGATTTGTTTTGATTTTGGCTTGTCGAGGTTGGAGCTCTCGGGGACGTCTTTTACAGAGGGAAGAAGGAAGGTTGGAGCTCGCGGGGTCGCACATGGACTTGTCAGGGTTGGATCTGAGGGAAGAAGGAAGGGAGGGTGCGGGTTGGGGGAGACTGGTTTTGGTGGTGAAGGAAGGTTGGGGGAGAGGGGATGTGCAGTGGGTGCAGAGGGAGAAGGGATGTGCGGTGGGTGCAGAGGGAGAAGGGAGAATGAAGGGAAGGATGGATGTGCGGTGGGTGCAGAGGAGAAGAAGAAGACAGCTTTTTATTTTTTTTGTAATTTTTTATTTTTTTTATTTTTTAATGTTTCCACATGGACGCCTCGTCATCAGTTAACAAAATACTTAATAGCCAAACTAACGGATGTATGAGACTGTCCCAAAATTAACACTTTAGGTATGACTCTGGGACGAAAAAAACTTCATGTACCAAATGTTGAATCAGGGTAGTAAACAGAGAGTAACCCAATTTATATTGTATATATGCTGCTGAATAATTGGCTGATGCACTTGTTATCTACTGTGTAGATTTGGGATGCATCACGCTGTAGGAGGGTAAGAACTATGGAGGGCCATCGACTACGCATTGGGGCCTTAGCCTGGAGTTCATCTATGCTGTCTTCTGGTAGCCGGGACAAGACTATTCTTCAACGTGATATTCGTGCTCAGGAAGATTTTGTTAGCAAACTTTCCGGACACAAGTCAGAGGTCAGAATCTTATAGTTCATGTTAAATTTGATTGAACTTCTTGGTTCTACAAGAAACTGATGGTTTTAAAATTTTGGATTTCCACTGTACTTTCAGGTACAACTTTCAATGTTACTCATTCTAATCCTTTGTTCTTCTAATTTGTACTTCGTGTAACATGCCGTTTGTCTTTTGTCATGTTATGGTCCATGTATCTTGCATACCATATTTTTTTTCATTTTCATATTTCTCCCCCTAAAGATCATATGATTGTCCTTTAGGTTTGCGGACTGAAGTGGTCTTATGATAACCGTGAGCTGGCATCAGGCGGGAATGATAATAGGGTATGTTATAGAAATTTTTCTTTCAGTCCGACTTATGTTTTGTGCATTCTAATTTGGTCATGCTACCTATTCATAACCGATAACGTGCTATACAGCTTTTTGTTTGGAATCAACATTCAACTCAACCTGTGCTCAAATACTGTGAGCATACTGCAGCTGTGAAAGCTATTGCATGGTCTCCCCATCTTCATGGGCTTCTTGCGTCTGGGGGAGGAACTGCAGACCGATGTATTCGCTTCTGGAATACAACCACCAACTCGCATTTGAGCTGCATGGACACTGGAAGTCAGGTGAACAGCTTGTTGCTTATTTGAACATGCATGCAATTAGGAAGCTTTTCCCGATGAGGAATATTTAGAGAACCTGGACTGATTGCAGTGAAATTCATTATTTCAATAGTTATAAACCTTGTTGTTGTTTCTTAACATAGTTCATTTTCTAGTGAGTTTCGCCAATAATAAGTGATGGAAATTGGCAGTTTTTTTATTTTTTTATTTTTTTTACATTTCACCTTTTCCATGTAATTATAAAGGGAGGAAACAGGGGTTAAAACATTCGCAACTTGAATCCAGTTACTTTCGTTGTGTATCTCATATAGGGGCTAAATCAAAAGAAAAACTAGTTCACCTGGAAAAAAATTTGGGTTCATCTCATTTGTGATGATATTGATATATTCAGTTCATAGATATGAATTTAGTTGGTGACTGAAATCCCTCCCTATTTCTGATAACAATTCTAGGCTGTACTTGTATCCATTCTATATCTGCAGGTATGCAATCTTGTGTGGTCGAAAAATGTCAATGAACTAGTCAGCACCCATGGCTACTCCCAAAATCAGATAATAGTTTGGAGATATCCCACCATGTCAAAGGTAAAAAAAAAGTCTTGTCAATTCCCCTTGGTCGTAACCAAAAAACATCATTATTTTCTTTGCTAATTTTTCATCTTCTTCTGCTGATATAGCTTGCAACTCTTACGGGCCATTCATACAGAGTTCTTTATCTTGCCATCTCGCCTGATGGACAGGTTCTTACCCAATTCCTTCTGATTTTACTTACCCCTTTTTTATGGTTATGCAAATTACTTTTCATTCCGTTAGGCATATTTTGATCTGTCATATTGATTATTGTTTCAGACAATTGTTACTGGAGCAGGAGATGAAACACTAAGATTTTGGAACGTGTTTCCTTCCCCTAAGTCCCAGGTAAAAGACTCAATACTTGATTGGAATGTTTAACGCAAACAATTTGGTTAATAGCTCTTCCTTAATTGTTAAGTTATCAGACTAGGTTATAAAGGATACATAAGTGATTATGCTTCCTTAAGAACTCCTATTCTGTCGTTGTAAAGTCTACAGTTCATAGGAGTTGCTCATCAGTAAGATCATTAGAGAAAAACAAGGGTAGTTTAGTAGCATTGATTATTTTCCTTCCCTGATATCGCGTAACAATTGTGTTCTGTACCTTATAATCACGTTATCTTACGTTATATATTGTGAAGTGAAATTGGTTGAACCAGAGACTAAATTGCATCTCTAGCTGTTCCCTTTCATACCCTCTACCCTTGAATCTATTTCGCGCTGAAGAGGAATACAACTCATGTCATATGAATGAAACTGTTATTGCAGAACACAGAAAGTGAAATTGGAGCATCATCTCTTGGAAGAACCATCATCCGGTGACCTTGTACATGACGTCAATATACTGACTTGGCAACCTTCACTGTTGCTCAGACCGCCTGAGGATGCGAACATCAGGACGATGTCATTCCTTTTTGACATGATATCACAGACGAGCATAGATTATGCCGGGACCTCGAAAGGCTAAGACGAGAGATGAAGTGATGGGTTTGGTCGGGTTTCGATTGTTACTCTCGTTTCCCACATAAGTAGCCTACTATATATAATGTATAGAAGGTGGGTTGTGATCAATTATTCTCACCTTCTCGGTGCGCCCGTACTTTGTATATTTAAAGAGGAGGATACGCTGGGAGATAAGTTGGGTCATTGTGATGTAAGTTTACTTCACATTCTTTGTAAATGGATCGCAATTTTATTTTCACATTTTAGTTGAAAATTAGGTGATTTGATTTTGCAACTCCAGTTCGTGTTATCGCGTTTGCACGTGTGAAATCCTTCGACGTGTTCGATTAATATAGGCTCTCCCATCAGTCGCTGTGAAATCAGATAGAATTCTATGATTATTTTTATCTATTTGGGTCAAACATTGAATTTTGTTAGATTAGAGGTTAGATTAACCACCGACAGGATTTGAACTTCCGCCGTCATGCAAGGGCTCACAAATAGAGCTGCCTTAAACCAATGGACCACTAACCATATAATTCACAATGTTTGACAAATCAGAACCTTCTCCTTTGTTAGGATTAACACACGTCCGATCTTTGGCTGTAGATTGAATCGCCACCATGTGATTCGTAATGACAGCATGTGCAACTTCGTGAAAGGTGAGATGCAGATTTGAATGTTTAACGCAATTTTGTTTACAGAATTTAAACTACTCTAGAATTGGTAGATTAATTTTACAAGGGAACTTTTAATTCTATAATTGTTATTTCATTGATCATCACAAAGAAATACAGATGTGCCACCAAACAAACAACTAGAGTAAATCTCTAAACGGCTACTACCTGCATGAACTTACATGCTGCCAATATAGATCTATCACAAAATCGATAGACTCAACAAACCTATACCTACAAACACACCAATCTTCGCTAAAGTGTGAAGCCATAAAAATCATTACAAAGGAGCGTGACCACATAAAGTCATCGTTGAAAGATGAGACTGCATAACTCATCAATCAAAGGTGAAGGCCACATCCAATTACTGCACAAGCTGGACTACAACACTTGCTAGGCAAATCAACAAAAAAAGCTACACTACTTTGGGAATGGAACCACTGCTTGGCTCATCTTTGTGGAAGGTTAAGGGATGGTTTGGGAGTGAGGTGCTTAAAAAAAAAGCACCCATGAAAAAAAGCTGTGAGGGTTTTAGGTGTTTGGTAAACTGAAAAAAAAAGGGCTTATTTTGGAAGCTGCTGTGAGAATAAGCTGAAATCAAAGGAAAAAGCTGAAGCTACTATTAGCAGCTTTGGAAAACTAGCTTTTTTTCAAAGCACACAGAGCTACACTGCTCCTTTAATGAAAAAACTCACTATCAGACTGTTTTTTTTTTTCCAAAAGCACTTTTACAAAAAAGTTTACCAAACACTCTGCTGATTTATTTCACAGCCGCTTATTCTCACAGTACAGCCGCTTATTCTCACAGCAGCTTTTTTTCAAAACACAGCAATACAAAACCAGCCCTAAGACACTCCAGCCAAGGCAGAGCCGCCAAATCTGATCGCACAAGGCTGCGCAACCACAAATTGAATGTATTATGGCCAAGTCACCAAAATATTTACAAATTTTGTTGCCTGATTAAATGTGTATTGTACACTTCACACGCCAAATTGGTTCCTTTTTACCTCAACCAATATACATTAAATTAAAGGGTCTTCTTTGTACTGGAAATTAAGGTTCCAGACGACGGTACACGAAATTACATATTTTTTCAAAATTTATATATAGGTTTTTTTTTTCAATTTAATCTTAAAACTTCTGAAAAAACACTCTATTTAGGTTATCATTTCAACTACACTGAATTAAAGGATTTAATTCGAGAACAAAAACCGAACGAGAATTGAAAAGTTCACACAACCACCCTTTCAATCTAAATTCTTCCACCAAATTTCATGGTTTCTCACGACCGTTAACAATAAAAATAAGTTCTAACTTCTAAGTTTTTTGCGTTGGAAGACAAAAGTTCCAAATTTTAAGAGGAAGAGAAGAGAACGAGTAGGAGCAGGAGGAAAAGTTTCTGAAGTCGAAGAAAAAAAAAAGGTCACAAGAGGTTAATACTAAATAACATTAAAGGCTACATGTGATTGAGTTCTACAACTATTAAATTTTTCATTTTCTATCTCAAACATTCAGTTTGTATAACTTTTCTTTTTTAGTCTCAAATGTTCATTTTCCATACTGCTCAATGCTACGTACCGTTGAAAAAAATTGCAAAAATAAAGAATGATGTAGGTTTTTTTATTAGCACCTCACATATTGTTGAATACACCTCGCTTAAAAATGTATTATTAAGGGCTGGTATACCTTACTATGAAATGACTGTTTAAGCCTTGGTATTAAGAAAGAAAATTATTTTTAAAAACACCCCGAATTATTTTCAAAACATGGATTCTAAGATTTTCTTGTCCGAGCTCTCAAGGTCACTCCCCTTTCATTGTAGAACAAATTCCTAACCACTAAATTACAAGCTTGTTGAATCAACTTTTGTAAGTTTCACATGACAAACGCCGACGACCAAAACAATAGGTACTCATCTCATAATAAATCAAAATCGCCAAAACCTACGCAACTATGTTCTTTATAAATGCAGGACCTGCTAAAACCCAAAAATACTCTTATCATAAATCATCAAACCCAAAAAATAGAAATAGAAACACACTGAGCCGACCCTGAAAAAGTGCAAGTGGTGCCACCGAATAGGGCCTCCAATTTTTCATTTTTGCATGTATATATGTTTATATATTTAAATGTGTAGCTAGTTTACAAAAGTGATCAGTTAGCACGGGAGCCTAGAAGTGGGTTTGAACCTTGCATCTGACTTCTTTTAACTTTTTTAATTCTTTAATTAAAAGGGTAAACTACCATTTGACTTTTTGAATTATTACTCCAGTTGAAATTGACCCCTTGAACTATTTTTTTAGTAAATTAACCCCTTGTCCGTAGATTCCATCCATTATTTGGTCAAATTCAAAGGAAAATTAGTCTCTCCTTCATCCATTCTTACTTGCCAATTATAACCACCAATAAACTTATGACATTTGAAAACAAAATAATGTGTAATGACAATGTGAGATGGTTCGTTATGTAAATGTTTGGTTTTTTTTTTTTAATGTTTTCTCATTATGCTATATGTTTTTGAATTATTCTGTGTCCATATGTCAAAATTTTATTGGTGGTTATAGCTGACAAGTAACAATTAATGATGAAATGACTAATTTGCCCTATGAAGGAATTGATTCCGCAATCTAACTGCAAGGGGTTAAGTGACTGATTTTAAATAGTTCAAGGGGCTAATTTACCAAAAACATTAGTTTAGGGAGTCAATTTCAACTGGAGTGATAGTTCAGGGATCAAACTGTAATTTAACCTTAATTAAATGCATGAATTTTCACAATAAAATGACACAAATTCAAACCTTTGGCCTCTTAAAATTAAGGGAAAACTAACTAAAAGCCCCAAAAAAGTTTCCTTTTAATCATCAGGACAAAAGTTTTCAAAAATACCGATGCTACCCTTCAAACATCTGTACAAAATTAGCCAAGTATTCAGTAAAGTTCACGTGATCTTCACCAAAGAATACATCCAAAAGAAGAAAAATGAGGACTAACACGACTAACACTTTCATAAAACATTTGAATGCAAAAGTTAAGGTGGCAAACATTGCAGCAGCCAAGACAACATGGATTCACATGACCTTCATTAAAGTAAAGACAAATCACCTATCTTTCAAAAATAGTGCTGACAGCTTTCAGAAACAGTGTGTTGTCACTATTCAAAAAGTTGTAAATAAATGAAAAGTTATTTTGTTGTTTAGGAATTATGCCTTGTCTATAAGGGAGCTTTTCCTCCCATGCAGAACACAAACCAACACAGCAGAGACACACCATACTCACATCATCCTTCAATCCTCATACACTCAAGCATCCAAAATCTTCCTAGCATCCTTTATAGACATTTCTTTGTAAACACTTCTCTTTGTAAACATTCTATATATCAATAAAAGTTCAAGTGTACAGATTCAAGCAATCTCCAAGTCTTAAGTAAGTTTTCTTTTCTTTCTTTAGTGTGTTTCTTTAATTAGACTTCTAGTCCAAAACAGCGAAACACTATTATATTTATATTATTAACCTGCTAAATTGACGATCATACTTTGTTTGAGCACTCTGTTACAATTGAATGTTTGCCATACAAATAACTAGACATTAACTAAGTTACCTCTTAGTTCAGCCGTTAAGGCCTTATACTTGTACTGTGAGTGGCCATCATGCTGAAACGTGTCGAGTTCCATGTGCAAGGTTTTATGTCTTGTTGTTATAATGATCATCCGACTATTTAACCGGGCCTGCTTCACGAATCTGGTATCAAAGCCAAGTTTAGCATTTTAATAGTATAATTATAATAGTACAGTACCTTGAGGACGAAAGTCATTGATACAACTGATATCACACTTGTTTATTTTGCATGAACAACAGATATTATTGTCCTTTCAGACCTTGTCAACCACAACCCACAGATATTTATTGTCCCAGACACCCCATTATAACTAGCATAAAGAGAAGATTAGCATATATATCCAAAAGTATTAGCAAGACTTTGAAGAAACAGAAGTTTTATCTTGGTTATCTTGAACATCGATCATTTATTCGTAAATATAATAACACAGAAGTGCAACATAAAGTTTTAGAAGCAAACAGAGCAACATATCAAGTTTTAAAGACCTTGAGAGAAGAAAGAGAGTTTCTAATAAACCAGTTAGCAGTAATTTTAGAGAAAGGTAGATTGTAGTATATGATAGATTATCTTAATTTAGAAATTAGTGAACCACAAAAAGAAAAATAACCTTAGACCAAAATAGTTTAGTTTGTTATTTTCCATTGAGAAAACATAATCATATTTTACATAGTGAAGAAAATCCACAAGCCAATAGTATTATAGATCTTATTATTAGTCAAGCAGAAAATATAAAATTAGAAAATAATAAGCATAATCATTTATTAAACCAGTTGTTAGAGTATTTTCAGAAAAATTCCATAAAAACAATTAGACAACATTTTGATTATATTACATCTCAGTTAGAAGATAATAATAAAAATATTCAAAGGTTTCCTAGCAAAAGAGAGATAAGAGAGCTTATTGACCTCATAGACAGTAAGCCTAAGCAGGTAGAACTTTGATCATTAGAAATAGTTGAGCAATTAAAATTAGAAGTTCGAAAAATTCAATTAGTGCAAAAAGAGTTGAGTGAACAAGTAGATAAGTTGCATAATAAAATAGATAAATTATTAGTTTAATGACCAATTCTAGAACTA